AACCCATGATTGTAAAGAAGAGGAAAATATTCGATAAAACATCCAAAGTCGTGACTGCATCAGTGTCGTCACATGAAGATGCTATACCTAATAAGTCTGAAAAGTCTTGGTATTGTACGAAAGGCCTCCTGGGCACTGTATATAGAAGATATAGTGTGGTTGATATACGCAACCCATGATTGTAAAGAAGAGGAAAATATTCTATAAAACATCCAAAGTCGTGACTGCATCAGTGTCGTCACATGAAGATGCTATACCTAATAAGTCTGAAAAGTCTTGGTATTGTACGAAAGGCCTCCTGGGCACTGTATATAGAAGATATAGTGTGGTTGATATTCTTTACTTCCACTTAGAAGTTATTTTTAAAAACTGGCTGAATATTCTTTCTTAATGTATTACTGCTGCCTACTTTATAATAAATACAATTTAAGGATATTTCACGTCAATTTTTTTTTAATTGGGCATACTTTCAGGGACATTTTTTCCCTCCGGGGAAATAGAGGACATTGTCCCCTTATTATTCATTAAGTTAGTTAGCATACAAACCAAATATCGATTCGCTAAAAATAAAACTGTAAAGTTTGTGACGTCAGTAGCGAAACACACAAAACTTGGCTCGCATTCAATAGTTTCTAAGCCTTAAACTTGCCATAAACCATTTAAATTTGTTGTTAAGCTACAATGGGGATTTTAACGTTATAAGCCTCAAGCAAGTTTTTCATTTTGTCGTGGGTATAAGTTTGTTTTGAACCCGCGACCCTAAGATTGCGAGTGAAGCGCCCTAACCAAATGGCCATGCCGGGCCCGTCGATGTAGGACAATCATCTATAACCAAGAGGCATAAACCTTTAAACTTACATACTACGTGTTCTTCATATTAAACAAATCATGTGAGCTACTGTACTTACCAGGTGTTGTAGTGCTTTGAGCACCAGGACGTTTACTGACATCTAGTGTTTTGTTGCAACTACAGTAGTGAATGCTCTTGCATATCTACGTAAGTAGTATACTAGAGATATATTATGTAAACTTGGGGGGGGGGGGTATTTTTAGCTAGTTCTGAAAGTCCCTTAAAAAAAAAAGAAAGAAAAAAAATTACCACGTGACACTGGAAATAGTCTCGTGACTTCTTTTTTCGATTGTTGTTCAGTGTAAAGCTTTTGTTGAATTTCGCGCAAACCTACTCGAGGGTTAATTATAGACGAAAGCATCTAGTCATCACCAACGAATAGTAGGATTGTCCTTCCCATTATAACGCCTCCACAGCTGAATGGGCGAGCATGTTCGGTGACGGGATTCAAACCTGCCAGTCTACACAATGGATTATCTATGCTCTGCTCACCACGGGGGGCCAGATTTAGAGCATTATAAATCCCTGTCGTTGAGCTACCCTAGGGCGTTTCTGTTCTTTCAAATATTCACGCAAAGCTACACTAGCAGTAGTTTGATAACTACGACAAAACGTGAGACAATGAACCGTGGATCCGCAACGCCCAGCCGTGAGAGAAAGTATTATTAACAATATTTAATTATATAATTAATTACTTAAGACGACGGTAAAACAAAAAAACGTTCATCACATTACTAATATCGGCCATTCTTAGCATATCTTACCAGCATGAATGATCCAAGGTTTTTCTGTATCATGTTTATGTCGCTTTCATATTGGATTACGAAAAACATCTGTTATTTGCTTCGCATTCAACAGTTGTTGCTCCTGATTGACCAATCAAGAAACATTTGTTCATCCTATATCGTATGCTCTTCTTTATCGGTATATATTTGGTGTTCTTACTCTACTTCAAAGAAATGTTAACTTTTTTTTTAAAGTATCACATCGTCGAAAATCAACCCCTCTCGGCTGGGAAGTTTCCACCAACCTTGAAAGTTGCTCTTTGATTTAAAGCTGTATAACTTGTTTGTTTTGCTGTAAGTGGAAAGTTAAAAAAATGGGCTAACTGAACTATGCCCACATTAAGGATCAACACCCGATTTTTAGTGGTATATTCCCTCAAGCCATCTTTGATTTAAAGCTGTATAACTTGTTTGTTTTGCTGTAAGTGGAAAGTTAAAAAAATGGGCTAACTGAACTATGCCCACATTAAGGATCAACACCCGATTTTTAGTGGTATATCCCCTCAAGCCATCTAATACTAGTGCAAGTTTTTAAGTATTTTCTGATTTCAACGTTCAGTACGTACATTGTAAGATTTGGTTGTATCTGTATAGGTACTTCGACAAAATGACAATCTGACTTAAAACATTTATCTAATTAAAAAAAGAAAAGAAAGCACGTGATGGTACTAGAGCGACACATACCGCACCAAACGTAACACCTCTATCTGACGGTTTTAATATTTATTCAATGATAAGATTCTTTGAAAACTTATTAAAAAAAATTGTCTCTCTTCAACAAGTCCCACCAAAGTTATAATTCTGTCGTATAAAAAGGCAGCATTCAATCAAAATAAGATAGAGAAAAACAAAAATACAATATTGGAAAATTTCTTGCTAGTCATGACATTTGTTTTTGTTTGGACTGTAACATATCTTTTTATAGGTACTAACCAACAGAAACATTAAATCACAGTTGTTTGTTGTTCTACATATGTACAATTAACCAGGAAAGCTACAATACGTCAACCGTGAGGAATTAAACCTCGGATTTTAACACAAGTCTCAAGCTGAGCGAAATGTTAATAGTATTTGTTTTTCATTTTGTCGTGGATGTAGGCCTAGTATCTATAAAAAACATACAAGATGTATAAAAACCTTTAAACTTCTGACTAGAATTACACAATACTTCTTGTTTGGTCAATGTAATATTTTAACTTTTTATAGGTTATATCCAACAGAATATTACTTCTCTCTCTCTCTTTGTGTTTGCACATATGCACAATTAAACAGGAATGAAATATTGCACTGAAAAATGCATATTTAAACTGATATGAATTAATGCAACACTCCCAAGGTTCATCTTTACCGAAATATTTCTTATAAGCCTAAAATGCAGCTATAAGAAAAAAAAAGATTATCCCCAATTCTTTGTCAAAATTACATCGCAAACAGACAAACGTGGTGTTTCATACGCGTAAAGAGCACATTAAATTAAGATGAAACATACAAATTGTTGAGAGTAAAGCTACATTCACACTGTAGAGAGTGAACAAGTGTATAAGAGTAGCTGTTTTTATTTTCACATAACTGCAAAATAACTATACAGTTTAACAACAGAGAATTATGTTAAAGGTTACTTTTATTATCACCCATGATCATGGAAAAAAATACTGTACTGTTTAACAATACTAAGTAAAGTTACAATTAGCTGTTACTATAAGTACAAAGAACCTTGGACAATAGAAAACAGCTGGTAAACAGAATCACAAAAAAAAAACTGGCATATTATTATGAATTACAACACAAGACTTTTCTATTAACTTTGATTTATAACTTTACATCCAAACCTGTAACATTCTAACAACTTAATCTCTCTGTGACCTGAGTAACAAGGATACTTCGGGAAATGAACAGTAACCTATTAGGGATACTTTGGGAAATGAACAGTAACCTATTAGGGATACTTCGGGAAATGAACAGTAACCTATTAGGGATACTTCGGGAAATGAACAGTAACCTATTAAGGATACTTCGGGAAATGAACAGTAACCTATTAAGGATACTTTGGGAAATGAACAGTAACCTATTAAGGATACTTTGGGAAATGAACAGTAACCTATTAAGGATACTTTGGGAAATGAACAGTAACCTATTAAGGATACTTTGGGAAATGAACAGTAACCTATTAAGGATACTTTGGGAAATGAACAGTAACCTATTAAGGATACTTTGGGAAATGAACAGTAACCTATTAAGGATACTTTGGGAAATGAACAGTAACCTATTAAGGTTTTTGGCACATTCGATCACATACGTTTTACAGTTTTGTTTTTTTGTTGTTAAGCACAAAGATACATCAAAAGCTATCTGTGCTGTCCCCAGTGCGGGTATCAAAACTCAATTTTTTGCATTGTAAGCCTTTCTACTTACCAATAAGCCAACAGCTAACTATTACTAAAAAGACAGGTACATACAAGCTCTAAAACAGAGGCCAGGGGTGCCAAAAATGTCCAAATTCATGAATACCTAATAATTCCCGGTCCATAGTTTGTGATAAGAGCAAATACAAATTAAAACTTTCAATTACTATTTCACAGTATACTTTAAAAAAAAAACACGCAACAAATACATCACTAATTAAAAATAACTTAAAATAAGATGCAAACAATGTTGCAGGTTAACTGCTGTTCTATTGAAGATGTTATATGCTCCGTTCTATAGGATGTTACATACATTTGATACCCCTGACCTAGACTAGATAAGGTGATACAACAGACAATATCAGATGTCTCAGCTATATCACTTGTACATTTGATAACCCTGACCTAGACTAGATAAGGTAATACAACAGACAATATCAGATGTTTCAGCTATATCACTTGTACATTTGATGACCTAGACTAGATAAGGTAATACAACATACAATATCAGATGTCTCAGCTATATCACTTGTACATTTGATGACCTAGACTAGATAAGGTAATACAACATACAATATCAGATGTCTCAGCTATATCACTTGTACATTTGATACCCCTGACCTAGACTAGATAAGGTAATACAACAGACAATATCAGATGTTTCAGCTATATCACTTGTACATTTGATACCCTGACCTAGACTAGATAAGGTAATACAACATACAATATCAGATGTCTCAGCTATATCACTTGTACATTTGATAAGGTTATCTAGTCTAGGTCGGTAATACAACAGACAATATCAGATGTCTCAGCTATATCACTTGTACATTTGATTTCTTTAAATCATATTATAATATCCTTACATCAGTTACTAGAGGGATATTTATTAAGTCTCATATCAAAGTTATTTATCATTTTATATTATTGCTTTATGAAGATGACCAACATCAGATAGTTAAAATCAGAACAACATACAAATAGAGTAACTAATTCAAATGTTACTGTAACTAGTTATTGATAGTAGTTTGTTTGGAATAAAAAGTTAAATATAATTAACACTATCAATCTATATACACACAGTTTATTCTATAAACTACTGCTGGATAAAGTAATTATTGAAAATGGGGCTTTTGAATAGTACAGTAATGAAATACAGTGAATATAAATCACAAAATATCGAATCAACTTCACAGTGTGAGCCCGTATCAATTCTTATTCCCAAGATAAGTAACATGTTTACAACATATTTATTACTCTCAACTATTATACTAAAATAATTTTAAATATCCTGCCCAGACAACAACTTTCATATAAAAACAATTTTAAACATCCTGCCCAGATAACAACTTTCATACAAAAACAATTTTAAACATCCTTCCAGACAACAACTTTCACACTAATATAATTATAAACATCCTCCCAGACAACAACTTTCAATACTAATATAATTATAAACATCCTCCCGGACAATAACTTTCACACTAATATAATTTTAGACATTTTTCCAAGACAATTTATAGGATTAATGTTAGGAGTATTTTTTGTAGCCGATACTCTGTTTCTTAGTCTAATATCAAGACTTTTAGTGCAACATCAATCTGATCATGATAGGAAGATATTATTCTATTTTCCCACATACCAAACATAGGTAGATGCTGAACACAAATTTAAAAATTGTCTTTCCTAACAATGTTTCTTAAGTATCTTTCAAACATCTACTACAGCTGACTTTTTCTGCTATCTACTAAATTGAAACAACAACACATAATCAACAAATCAAACAATATTTACGTATAGAGAAGACTCAAAGGTTCTTACACTATTAATGATGATGGTGTTTATATAAACAATGTTCCTCCCGGTTCGGAGAAACCAAAAATTATATCAAAGCATACAGAAAAGTAATTTTGATGATAAATGGTATTGGCAAGATACAAAAGACAAAGTTAAAATAAAGTTTGTTTTTTTATAATGTGTTACAGCATAGATTGTCACAATAGATCTGGATAACCATTACTTTCAGTACTCTCTATAGAGGTAAAGATATGTCCCATACCATCCATTTTCACTGGAAGTTTGAGCTGGACCTGAAACGCATCTTGAGTTGCTTGTCGAAGACAGTGAAAGTTGTAATCTATAAGTCCTGGATGACAAGTATATAGATATGTTAATATAGTTTTTGTAAGGTAGTAACCTCATGGATTAAATATCATCAGACTATCTTTGTAACCTGTATAATATTAAAATAAATTTGACCCTAGGTAAAGTTTTAAGTTTATAAACATAGAACGATACAACAACAAAAGGAATGAATGTTAAATAACTACTGTCACTTAAGGAAACTGGTCGTAAGTGGTTTCAACATTAGTTTATAAAGGAAGTGGATATATTTTCATACTTATCAATAAAATAAGTTAACCCTTTCAGTACAGATGGCGACATATGAATAGAGCAGAGTTGGCGATGCTTGTCGACATACCCTGTTTGGTTAAAATGTATATTGTGTCATTTGGTTTTACAATACGAAATACCGCTAAAGTAAATGAAAATAAATGTTTTGGGAAACCCCAATATGTGGTTATCAGGTTTTTATAGGGGGCTGCAATTCTTTACAGTAGGTGTCTGTGACTTGTTGATGATAAATTTCAACAATAAACAACCAGCACACAATCAACTTGTTTTAAAATAACATATTCAAAACAAGTCAAATGTATGTATAAAAATTCCTCGCACTATTGTTTACCACAGTTGAATCTAAAGTCTTAAAAATTGTCTTTTTTTGTTAAAAGTCCACTATGTCTGTTACTACAATACAAACTGTGAAATGTTCACATTAGAAATCACCTGTTACTGCTAAACTGACAATCATACAGTCTAACTTCACTTTTACTTTCTCTAACTTACTTTAACTTCTTACTTCCACGTACTTATAACACGAGACAGGAATATCTAGCCAGCACTACATCCCCTTTGATGATATCTTTGTGTAGTTCTGGTCAGCCAGCACTACATCCCTTTTAATGACATCTTTGTGTAGTTCTGGCCAGCCAGCACTACATCCCTTTTAATGACATCTTTGTGTAGTTCTGGTCAGCCAGCACTACATCTCTTTTAATGACATCTTTGTGTAGTTCTGGCCAGCCAG